TTCAAGTGTTGTGGTTTTTGCTTCATTCCTAAGGTGGATTCTCTGCATTATAAATTCATCTTCATTCAGTAAAGTGGCCGACAGGATGGGTAAAGCTATGAGCAAAGAGACTTACATTTACGAGACGAGTAGCTTGGTTAAGCGTTTTGGCCAGCAAAGATATTTCTTCGTCTTCTTTATGTTTATGTATCACAATTCCTTGTGGCTGCATTTCATCATCCCACCATTTGACTAATATGGGTGGGCGAGAGTCTTCAGCCGACCGTATCCGAAGGACCTCCTCTTCGTCGCCAATCATTGGGCCTTATACATTCATGAATAATGGTGAAGCAATTGAAAAAAGTTTGTCGGATCAAGACAGATTTGGAGGATTAGTTTACCTGTTATAATTTCCGGTCGGGGACAAGTAGGTCCTTGCATCCTGACAGGAGAGTTAGTTCCAGGGTCAGCACCAATGTCCGTCCTGTGAGGGCTGTTGGCTTGAGTTTCCACTTCTGGGATATTTTTATTTTGTTTTGTACCCGACTGGTTTCCAGTCGGGGGCTCCTGATCAGCACCAACTTCAGCTTCAGCCGACTGATTCCCAGTCGGGGGCTCGTTGCTGGTATCTACATTGCCGGATGCCGGTTGATTATTACCCGGACGGCAGTCGGCCCAGTTTCTGCTGAAGGACCAGTCTCCGTGCCAATCGGCGTGGGGTCTTTTCCAGAGGGATCTATGTCAGATGGTTTCCTACAAATTTGAGATATGCTATCAGCTTTGCTTCAATAGTGAGTGACTAGCGAAACAGGGGAAATTGTTAGATGACACATACCTGGATGACTTCCTTATTTTTGGCATGGGATGACTGGATGTTTTCTTCTTCGGATTGGCTTGCTTTGGCTGTTTCTCAGTCCCCTCTTTTTTGCCTGTCTTTTTTGCGTCGTCACCTTCATCGTCACTTGAAACCAACTTCCTCTCATGAGAATCTGGCTGATTAGTTGACCTCGAGGGGTTGGGTTGGACATCCGACTGGATCTTCTGCCCTCCACTAGCTTGGCTAGTGTGCCGGCGAGGTGAGCGGCGTTGAATAATCGGAGGATCAGATTTCATCAAAGCGAATTCCTGTGCACGGTATTCCAAGTTTTTCAGTCGACCTTACAGAAGATACAAGTATGATTTGAGAAAGGCTGAGGTGTATAATACGTACCGGTGGAGGAGGGTTGAAGGCGTTGTATGGCACAACTGGCATTAAGTGTGAATAGCTGACCACGATGGCATTCGAGAAGATCTTGTGCATTCTCTCCTACATAGTTTTGAACTCAAGAGACTCTGGGTCCTCTCGGTTGGGGTCATGCTTGCCATCAAACTCAAAAGTTGTTCGGGATCTCTCCTTGATTGGTGCCAGCCGGCTCTTGATGAAGTGCCGGGTGATTTGCTCCCCTTGTAGACCCTGTTCTTTAAGCTTCAGCATGCGATCCAATAGGTCAAGCGCTTGAGCAGCTTCTTCTCCCATGGGAAAAGAGTTCCAGGTATCGCGGTATACTGGAGGAAGATAGGAGTACCCGGGAAGCGCTGGCTCGGGGTTTTGCACGTAGAACCAGTTCGCATGCCAACCTTTGTTCGAGGTCTTGAATGGCATGGATAAGTATTTTTGGCTCAAAGTCCCCCTCAGTTGAAATCCGGCTCCCCCAACTACGCACGGTTTGCTATTATTTGGCTGAGGCTTGAGGAAGAAGACGCGCGGAATAGAGCAAAATGCGGCCTGATCCCCAGAAAAGCCTCGCAAGCGTGGATGAAATTGGCGATGTGGACTATGGAATTGGGGTTTAGGTGATGCAAACTGATCCCATAGAAATCCAAAATCTCCCGGAAGAAACTTGAAGTCGAAAGAGAAGACCCGCCATAAAAGAAATGGGAGAACACCACCACCTCGTGTGTCGGGGGTTGGAAACGCTTCGCCGAATGCTGGACGCCACCCGATGATCTCTTTCGCCGGAAGAACTCTCGCCAATTTCCCCAAAAACAAAGAAGTTTCGCACTGTAGCAGAGAATGGGGAAAGTGGCGAGAGTTTCGGCGGGGAAGACGAAGCGATGCTTTGTTTTTGGTGTTATTTCATTAGGGTTTCGGGAGTACTAATGGGCCTAGGCCTAAACAGTACTTTAGCCCAATTTGGTTATCGGCGTGGCTAAGTTGTGATCCTTAGGGACTTGGGCATTTTTGCTTCGGCAATACTTGCTCACAACAATATAGCCCAATGTTGCTAAAATCCTTTTTGACGCAGTTAAATAATTCTTTGGAATTACTACGATGCAAATAAAAAGGTGCCCAACGGAAAAGTGTTATACTAATTTTGTAAGCCTTTTTAGGCTGCAAAAGCTGTTTGGGTTTTGTTGAGATGACTGGTTTTTGAATGGTCATTCTCTCGGCATGTTATATGCTTATTTTTTATTATGGCGTGAGTCATAGCCTAGGCTATTTGGATTCGTCAATTGTCATGATTTAAACCACATTTGATGGATCTTTTTGAGAGTTTTTACTCGGATTCTTGTCATATGTGTTGATTTATGGACCTTTAGAGTATTTCTTACTCGGGTTTCTTTATATCTTCATTTTTGGTATATTAAAGCTAAAACAGTCGGCTAGATGTTTTACACAGCGTCGCATATGCTTAGCTGTATGATACTTTTGATGATTCAGTTGAAAGACCACTCGGTTGGATGTAATTTGTACCTTGACTATATGTTTAGTTTTTAACTAATCACATAGTCGGGGGCTACAGCTAATTAGGTGCATCTAGTCGATGCACCTAACTTCTTTTATTTTCAGCCCTTCACAGTCTTTGATTTTAGTACTCGGGAGGCCAGAGCAGAAGGAGTTGGATCACTCGGATTATTGCTTCGGATTACGAGAGAAGACTATTTCGTCGACTGTAAAGGTCTCAGGGGCTACTATGGAGATTATGGATACCCCATACCTACACGGCATGTATAATCCGATTGGGTATAGGGAGCCATGTATAGATAGAATATCTTTAATGAGGCCCGGGTTAAGTTCCAAACTTGTGTGTTAAGGAAGTACCCAGGATCCTAGTTGGTTACGATTAGGTCATATCTGTAACTACCTATTCCGTTAGGGATATGGGCTGTATTTTGTAATACGGACTCCTTCTCCTATATAAGGAGGGGTCCGGGTGCCTCTTGGGATACGAGATTCTACTCTCAGATCATACGATCAATAATACACTCGGCGGATCAAACCCCAGACAGGAGTAGGGTATCACTTCTTATTAAGAAGGCCTGAACCTGTATAAACTTCCTTGTCTCCAAACCCATCCACTTTTCTAGCTTGATAGCCACCCCCTTTTAGTATTGCCGAAATCTTGTTTCGACACCACCCACGGCGCGCTCTGCACCGTCGTCGCCACGCCGGCCACGGTGGCGAGGGTGTGCCCCACCGTTGACTCGGCCCGGCGGTCCGCCTCACCGAGTTCCCGCTCGACAACGCCACCTCCTCCTCCACGCTCGCCCGACGTGCCTTGTGGTGGACTTCTGCCACCCGTGGGCATCGGAGCTCGCCGCCGGCCTCGCCGTCCCGCGGCTCACCTTCTTCAGCATGTGTGCCTTCTGCCTCCTCTGCCAGCACAACGTCGAGAGGTTCGGCGCCTACGACGGCGTCGCCGACGACAATGCGCCGGTGGTCGTGCCTGGCTTGGCGAGGAGGATCGAGGTCACGCGGGCGCAGGCCCCGGGCTTCTTCCGCGTCCCCGGGTGGGACAAGTTCGCCGACGACGTGGAGCGCAGGTGTTGGGCGGCGATGGCGCGGCGCGGCCGTGCTTGAGCGCTGGCCGGCTCGGCGCGGTGTGGAGCACAGCGGCAAGGTGGAACGGAGGGAGGCGGCATGGGAGGAAGAAGGAGGTCCTCCAGCAGCCACTGGTGCCGAGTAGGCCGCGCGTGCTCTGGGCGTCGCCGCCGTCACCGAGCAAGTCGCGACCGGGAGGAAGAAGAAGGAGGGAGAAAGAAAAGAAAGAGAGGAAGACAGATGGAGAGCTGACATGTGGGCCCAAGGGCATTTTTGACATTTCACGTGATTTCTCTCCTCTTTAACCGGAAATTATTATTTTAATCGGCGCGGTGTCCATAGGCAAATTACCATGTTTATGGAGTGTTTTCGCCCAAATATGAGTTTGGACAGTGTCCTAGGGCTAAAACCACATATAAGCAGTGCCATGTAGCAAAATTTTCCCAATTTAAATCTGGGCACTACCATTGATTAGGTCACAATCCAAACCTACGAGTTTACTATTCCAATAACCAAAATATTGGTATGGCCCAGTTTTGCAGTTTTGGTAGCAAACCAAAACGGCCCTGTATTCTTCTCGTCGAGACTCCAAACTACAATTTCATTTTCCTTTAGCACCGCTTTCCAAAGTAAACGATGCATTTTATTAAAAAAAAAATATATATATATAGAAGTATCTTAAAAAAAGAAATAAATTAATTTTAAAATTTATAATAGCTAATACTTAATTAATGATGAATTAATGAGCCGCTCTGTTTTACATGGTGCTAATATGCTGCTCTAATATGAACTTACAAACAGGCACTGGCTCACTCTCTATCTCCAGTTTTTCAGCCACGGGCTCTAGATATTCTATATATTTAAATATGAAATATGGTGATTTTTGTTTTCCAAAATATTTAACTTCGCACATGAGGCAGTGGATTTGTCTCAAACTCCCATGTAGTCTACAATGAACTATTTGTCCCATTTGGATTTGTGGACAATTTTTTGGGTTTTCAATGAACTATTTGGATTTGTGGACAATTCTTTTGGATTTTCGATTTACAGGTATTTATTTGAAATGGACAGGTGCCAAGCTAATACTACAAAATATCGCCAATCCTTTCTTAAATCTCAAAAGGTCCATGGAGAACAGGCTGCTAAATTGCAAGTTTGCTACAGACGACAAGGCTGTACAGTGATGCCAGGTCAGTAATGGCTGCAGACGACAGTGATATACAGTGACTAAAACTCAACTTTACTCTTCAGTTGTCAATAGCTACAGAGCTCATCTCTCTTCATCAGTTACTTGTCAACATCTACCACAAGTGAAAAAGCCTGAGGCGCCCTACTGGTCACAACCATTGACCACTTCATAGTTCATAGTACTAGTTTAGTGTCATACAAGGAATTTTTTATAAGTAAATTTCATCCAACGCAATAAATCATATTTAATCTTTAACTAGGACTATAGGAGATGTTACATCAGATCCAGAATAAACGTTTTTTTTTCATCCATTGGTGCAAGCATGTCTTTTTGTTCCCAATAACATGGTGAAACAAAAGGTATCTTCCCTAAGGAGTGTATAAGCCACTGGCCTCTAATGTTTGCGCTAAATTCTTGGGTGAAGTTGATGTTTTACTCTTTCGATGTAATGACCAGCAAGCCCAGAGCGCCGATGAGCAGGTACTGCAACAACAGATAACAAATGTCAGCCATACTCTCAGCAATAGATCGATTAAGCTACAAATAATATTCTCAATTTGAGTTATAGTCTATCTAGGGAATAGATAACTGACAGACCTACCTAGTATCTATTTACAATATTGGAAATAATAATCGAGGACTAAAACTTTTATCAACATCTTACAAACTATTCCCACATGGATAATGGATTAGAGTAACCGTAGTTTAATCTCCAGGTTAGTAAACAAGGAAGAGCATACCTTTATAAATGGTTTCTCAGTCATGATGATTGTAACCCACCCGACATATGGAAGAAAGCTGCAGACAGCAGAAAAATAAGGTTGGCCAAGTTAATTTTCACCAGGAATGACAATAGATTAATGTTCTCAAATTGAGCATACTGACCCTACAGCCCGTCCCATAATGTGATGTTGGTGAAGCCAAAGCTGCCCATGTGCATAAAGAAGACGGTCGTCCCCAAAATTATTATCACCTGAGAAGCAGTTTACTAGTTAAGACAAAACATTCATTGGCACCCATTGTACATTAAACATTTCTAGATGTCCATTGCAACCAGCACTACACAAATTGACCAGAAAGAGAAACATATGGAGCAAAAGGAAATATGGTTAATACCTTTCGTGAGGATATCAACTTCAGCACTTTCCTCGCGTTCATGGACCTATACACAGATAAGAGTAAACTCAAATGAATACCCAGGAAAAATAACGAAATAAAAGGTGACTTAACATCAACTAATAAAAAATTAGATTGATTGACGAAAACTTCAGAGTTCATTACCTTAATCACACGGTGAACAATTGGAATTTCACGGCCCTACATACGGTACAACCAAATGTTAAAATTAATGATTTCAGGAGCATATGTAAGCATGATTTATAGGGCCAATTGATAAATTCATGATTCAGCGAGTAATGTACAGATAATAAGTTACAATGACTCAGTAAGACTTACATCAATGTTGAAAACAACTATCTCTCCTGTGCGGATAGGATCTTTGCTCATGTGTAGAAAAAGGATATCGCCCTGCAAAGAAGATAATACATCATTCAGGTTTACTAGTGTGAAAGATGATCAAAGGATGCAAAAATGAAACATGGAGAAAACACTGGGGACTAAATAGACAATATTCACTAACACATTATCAGATTGACGTAACATTATCCTTTAAAAGTGATGACTGGGAAATAACAAGTTAAAGATGGAAGGAAGGGAAAAGGACAAGGCAGCAACTAGTTACAAACTAACCGAACTATGAAACGGAATCTACTCTTATGCAAAAGAACTATACAATGTGTATTCTTATCCTCGGTGTTTTGTTCCAAACTGCATTTCAGAAGAGGAGGGAAGGTCGACTCCAAAGGTCTTTTGCTTTAGAAAAAACTAGAGATTGGCTTTTATCACGTGTTTGGAAGACTTGGAAGATCGAACTAATGGAATTAAATGGGTGCTAGAGAAATCAGGTGAATTCACAGTTAGCTCCTTGCGCAGAACTCAATTTGGGTTGAGTAAAATGTCAGCTACAAGATCTCTGGAAAGCTAAAATTCCTTTGATTATTATGTTTTTATTTAGTTAATACAGACAAAATCAAAAAGAAAAAGAGAACGTCAATCAATGCCAGACCAGTTCTCCATGTGGTGGATTCCTTGGCCTAAACTTACCACAAGCACTATCGAGTAAGCTACCAAAAGGTGGTGCATAAGAAATGGGTGGCTCGGATAAATATGCTCTGTGTGGCTTGATACAAGATGGGAATTGTGTCTTCTTAGGTATATTATGGCTTCAGTGCAGCATCAATGAAAATGAAGCCCTTGGTTAGGAGTGCAGTCCTATGGCTTGGAAAAGTTATCCACATCTGGGTTCAAATGAAGATTGATCGAGAGGCTGGGCCCTGGATCTTAGGCTTGGCCACAGTTGTGTGGCCTGTTTGGTTACCAACAAATAAAATGGAGATAGAAGGAAAATGGATCAGGCAGCCTGTTGTGGTTATTTCCAGGTCCAGGATGGTTCTTCCATGCAGCAAAGGAATGTGTTTTTAAAGCTGGTGATGGATAGACTGCGGCATTCGCGAGAAAATTAAGAAATAACTCTGTTAGCCTTTCTTCTATTTTGCTCTCACTATATCTGCCACTTTACAGTCCATTACTGTGCATTTTGGATGATATATTTTGCACCCTGGTTTCTCTCATTTCTGTGTGTTTCCATTTCCCTGCTCTGGTGACCCTAAACTATGTTGCTTCAATATAAAGTGGAGCAAGTGCATTTTATTCGAAAAAAGCAGATATGCAAAATCTTAACAGGACAAGATAGGCGAATAATTATGTCCACAGGACAAGACGAGGATAAATGTAATTAAAATAAGCAAATTTCATAGTTTTGTTAGGTGGAAACTAACCCTTTTAAATCCAGGCTCCATGCTACCAGAAAGGACCACAACCACTGGGGACTCGCTCCCCGTTGCAACCATCAATCCCTTCCATATGATCAGTGCCGAGGTAACAATCATACCTGCAAAGTAAAAAACATCTCAATAACGAGTCCCCAACCAAAGAGACAACAAATCCAAGAGCACTAAAACCTCAAACAAACAAACAAAAAAGCAGATTAACTGATAAAACCCAATACCCTTCTTTTCCCCTCCCTAAATATCACAACTTTACAATCTAATCTTAAGCAGGGAACAGTATTATTATTTACAACTAGCTCTAACCCCTAAGTTTAAAACAATCATCTACAGGCATTCACCAAAGTCACAACCCACATTACACGAGAGCAGAAAAATCACAATCCATTCCTCTAAGGCTTTCATATACAATGCAGATATTCCTCGTTTTTTCTTTCAAGAAAAGGAAAACCTTAATAACCTCACAGGAACAGATCAAGAACCCCTAAAGCCTCCCTCCCCAAATCCTGCAGGCGTAACCTCCCAAACGCTTCAAAGAACCGAAGCTTTCGCATAATCGCGCGGTAAATCCATCACTACCTTTGAAATCAAGAACTACGCGGCGCCCCGCAACCCACTGATCTGAACGGGAAGGACTCCGAAAAGAAAAACTCTAAAACCGACGAACATAATCAGGGGATGAGATGAAGGGCGTCACCGAGGCTGATGATTTGCGCGAGGACTTGGCGGATCTGTATCGAGCGGATCGACTCCACCGTATCGCCGATGAATCCCATCTCTCTCGGGCCTCGGCTCCCGGCGCCCGGCGGCGAACTCAACGCTGGGAGAAGAAAGGAAAACAAATCTGCGTGTACTGCGTTCTGTTTTTTTTCGGACAGCACCCCGCGAATGGTCGGTAGTTACGTTCATGCCCCTCTCGTTGGGATCACGTCACTGGGCTTATTTCTGATCGACGGATGTGGATCGGACGGCTAGGGAAATGGTGCGGCAATGAAATGGCAGATTGTGCTCACAGAGTTTGGATATATTCTCGTGTAATGTGCCATTGGCCCGTTCGTTTCTAATGAAAGTGGAGGATAAACTTTTGAATTAAAATGATACGTTTTTTAAATAGCTAAACGGTACGTTTCGCGTGAAAACTTTCTGTATGAAAGTTATTTTAAAATATTAGATTAATCCATTTTTTAAGTTTGTAATAATTAAATCACACGTTTTTAACATCTCATTTTACGTGAAACAAAAATACTCCATCCGTCCTAAAATATAAGTATTTTTAGCTATGAATCTGGATAAGTGTGTGTCTATATTTATAACTAAAAGTTACTGTATTTTGGGACGCAAGTAGTATGAAATTAACGGTAGGAAATGAAATGATATGCGGGAGAAGATGAATGTTACCGTTGATCATAGTCTCTCCTATAGATACGTCATTTATATCAGTACATAACCAAAATTATAGTGTAGCTATTAATTTTCTTATAGATGATGTGACACACGTCACCAGTAACTCGTGGTACTAATAAACCTGCTCTAAGCTGTACTACACTACTATATATTCTTATGATTATGATTAGAGAGCTACTATAGGAACAATATTTTACGTACGAAGCTCGTCAATGTAACGTTTTCGACGGAAGCCAGTCACGTTGTCCGCAACAAGTAACGTTTACCATCCGTGAGCAATCGTACGAGAGAATCAAACATAACAATCGTACGTGCGATTATGACATTTTTTAAAAAATGCGAGTTTAATAGTATGTTCTTTCTCATGAGTTCCCAACTCATCTCACTCTTTTTTTGCGTGCACAATTTTCAAACTACTAAATGGTGCGCGTTTAAAAAAGTTTATATAAAAAATTGTTTTAAAAAAATCATATTAATTTGTTTTTAAAATTTTTTAGCTAATACTTAATTAATCCTGAGATTGAGAGTTTACACGAGAAAATTGATGGTGAGATTAAGATGGGAATTTAATTTTTAATCCCAGTATCTTGTTTGGTAGAGGTGATGGAAATTAATAGGGAGTTTAGTTAGAGATTAGTTCATTAATGAAAACGGATGGCTGAGTTTTGTTTAGGCAAAGTAAAGGAGGAATTCCCCCCAATTACCATCTCCTACCTAAGTATTGAAAAGGAGAGAGTTCCTCTCACAATTCCCCATCCCCATTCCGCAAAAATTTCCATGTATCCCAACCAAACAAAGCAGTTAATAGGCTCATCTTTCTAAACTCCCAATCCCTTCTAAAAACTCCCTCCAACCAAACGGACCGTTTGTTCCGTTTTAAGTGAGGAGGATTGGCACCGGGGTGTCCTTGTTCTTGCTTAGCGCAATCAACAAGCGCTAAGCCGCTAAATGCCGTTAGTGTAATCGCATATAATCGGACTGCGATCTCCTCCCCTCTCCGGGCCCCGTCGGTGGTGGTGGTGGTCGTCGCCGTCGTGGTGGGGTGGCCGGGTGGGGATCCTACCAGTCAATCTTACCGGCGGCACGCGCATGCTCATTGACTTATCCTCCTCGAAGATATTCCTCTCACTTCGCTGCAATGGATTCGGATAGTGCCAGTCCATTCTGCCGTTCTGGGAAGAATCTAGAGTATCAAGTAGGAGCAGAGGCTGGGCCGCACCATGGCCGGAGTAGGGGAGGTGCTCACGTCGATAGTCCTCAGGGAGGTGGCCAGGAAGCTGGGCTCCGCCGCCAGGGACCAGGTCACGGCGCAGTGGAACTTCACCAGGGACCTGGACGGGATGCGGACGACGCTGGAGTCCGTCAACGCGCTGCTCCGGCTGCTCCGAGACGCGGAGCAGCGGTCGGCGCTGGAGGATGTTAAAGTATATAGTAGTTAGAGTTATATTAGGATAGAATTGGTTTGTTTAGATTCCTTTCATATCTGTAATCCTTTCTTATCTCCTCTCTATGTACTCTTATATATTTCGACCCCTGAGGCTCAATACAAATGTGTCCCACGTTATGCAGTATTCCTCTCTCCCTATACTATCCAATATGGTATCAGAGCGGGCGATCTAGCGCCGCTCTCACGCTTCCGCCGCCGCTGCCCCCGAGAGTAGCGATCTCCCGGGGGTGGCCACCCATTTTTTCTTTTTTCTTCCTCGTCGCTGTCGTCGTCGTCTTGGAGAGATCGATCTCCACGTCTGTTCTTCGTCTAATCTAGTCATCGTCAAGCAGCTGCAACAGATTGCATCTCCTCTGCCGACCTCCGTGCGTGGCGCTCTTGTATCGCCGTCAGGCCGCCCGTCGTCGACTTCATCTTCAGCATCTGTTCTGCTCCGCCGGCCTCATCGACGGGGCCCTGCCGTCGTCGTCGCCTCCACTGGCCGACGATCGCGCCCCGATGGACAGACGGATGGCGCAGCTCGGCTCCACCTCTGGCACCGGTCTCCCCCTGCAACCCCCGACTCCTCCATCTCCAGCACCACCGTCGACCGGGGGGACAAGCTCCCAGCGCTGCTTCTCCGCCGCCGGTCCTCGCCTACCACCTCGCCTGTCCTGCCGGCTGCCGGGACCATCCTCCGCCGGCTCACCGGACGTCCGCCGCTCGGGAGGAGCCCGTGCGGCTTTGGCTCAAGCGCCTCAAGGGCGGCCTACGATATCTCCGACATGCTCGACGAATTCCAGTCCATCGAGCCGGACGCAAGGAAGGTAAGCTCCTGACAAACCAAATTAACTTGTCCTGGGTCCGACCAAGTTAGAGTAGGAACATTTTTCCCAATTTTTGTAGTATTACGTTGTGGGATTATGGCACATCACTTTTTTTTTGGTAAATCTGGTGTATCGGATAGATGAAACATGGGGCTAAAAGTTTGTGGGATGCCATAAATTTGATCTTGAACCAAACACTATGTACAAAAGAGCTGATGTTGGAGTAACATATAGGCATTGTTTAGTTCGCGAAAAGAAAATTTTTGGGTGTCACATCGGATGTTTGACCAGATGTCGGAAGGGGTTTTTGGACACGAATATCACCTAACGATTTATGGTGTAAACAATAGAGTCGCCAAAATCGATAGATCAAAATCGGCTAGTGAAACCGATTTCGAGATTAATTCACTTTCGCGGAATCACACGACTAATTTACAAGCAAATTAGCAAAGAGGATAAATATCGTACTTACGTGACGACGAACGACTAGTTTTCGAGCAAACTAGCAAAGGATAATCTTCTCGCTTTCGTGGAGAAGCATGACCGTTTTTCAGCGCAAAATGGCAAAGATCAACCAAATTCTAGGGTTGCTAGAACTCAGCCATGAAAATGAAATAGAAAAGAACTAAAGAGAAATAGAGATCTACCCTATAGTTCAACAAATACTTTCACTCATTCACTCATCACTCATTTTTTCATTCCTCATGCAATGGTCAGGATTGTCTCGGTGAAATCCCAACGGTCCAGATCGCTCCCACCTCCCATCTCTCAACCGCGCCCTCCTCTCCGCCCCCTCTCTCCACTCTCAAGCCCCGCCACCCCCTCCCCGCGCCCAAACCCCCGTCTACCCCTAATCCCTCCTGTCCTCTCCCTCTCACGCGCCGCCACACCGATCCCTCCGCCGCAATCGCATCCGTGCTCGGCCAAATCGGCGCCACCGCCGTCGCTGCTGCCCTCGACTGCCGCCACTCGGCCGTCGTCGCGTCCGTTGTCTCGCCGCCACCGATGACTGATCCCCGCCGCCGGCTCGCCCTCAACCGATCCCCAACACTGTCGTCCAGGATTCGCCTGAGCCCTCGACTGCTGCCACTCCGCCGTCGTCGCGTCCGTCGTCTCGCCGCCACCGATCCCCGCGCCACCGCCGTCGCCGTCGTCGCGTCCGTCATATCGCCGCCACCGATCCCCGCCGCCGGCTCGCCCTCAACCGATCCCCATCTCCGTCGTCGCATCCGTCGTTGTCCAGGATTCACGTTGCCGCCGACGCCTTCCGTCAGCTGGTCGCCGCCGACACCTTCCGCGCAGATCTCCTCCACGCCTCCCTCAGGTCGTTGCCGGTGTGGATCAGGACTCAGGAGGCCAGCCTCGACACACTGCGCTACACAGCCGCCGGCCTTTGCTGCTCCTGTTGCATGGATCTAGCGGTGGGATTTGCAATAGGGACGGCGATGTGCCCTGCTCGTGCTGGTGGCGGAGGTATGAGCATTGGGGAAGCGGCTGACACGGCCACGTACTCCCAAAGACCGGCCGCCGACCCTGCATCGGCGCCTCAATGGCCAGCCCCACAGTCCCCTCCCCCCATCTAACTGGTAAAGGTTCCTCTTCCTCAGTTTTGGCGAGTTATTCACCTCTCCGCCTTTTCGTTCATTTGCCAATCCACGACTGTTTTTCAGCGTAAAATGGTAAAGATCAACCAAATTCTAGGGTTGTTAGAACTCAGCCATAAAAATAAAATAGAAAAGAACTAAAAAGAAAAAAAGATGAATAGTAGATTGATAAAATTGTCCGGGGTTCTCATCTCTGATCATCCGTGACCAGCATATATATATATATATATATATATATGCCGTCGTACACATGAATTAACCGGTCCCACACAAAAATAGGAAAGTTGAACCGAAAGGAAACAAACTAATAAAACAGAAATAATATCTTTATCTTTGCAGCCACCCGCGCTAATCATGCCTTGTCATCTGTGAACTGCCGCCTCAGCCGCACACCAACGCAAGCCAATACGGCTCCTGTGCATGAGGAGTAATGCAGCACGCCAAATTTCTTCTCCACTGCATGTATGTGATCAAATCAATCCAGTATGTACAGAATGCACAGCAGTAACTCCTCGGTCGTAGCAGCACATGCATCACCATGCCGATCCAAACACTGCAGCTCCCCAGCAACTCGTACACCTCCAGGTGCAACACAAATTCCTGCGCATATATCAAGCTAGCTAATTCTTAAGGAAACCACCTAACGATTGCACCAACTATTCTAAATAATCTGGCCCGCTCAAATGAAATCAACCATGAGCCAAATTATGGCGTAAACACATCTCCTCTGCCGACCTCCGTGCGCGGCGCTCTTGTATCGCCGTCAGGCCGCCCGTCGTTGGCTTCATCTTCAGCATCCGTTCTGCTCCGCCGGCCTCACCGACGGGGCCATGCCGTCGTCGTCGCCTCCACTGGCCGACGATCGCGCCCCGATGGACAGACGGATGGCGCAGCTCGGCTCCACCTCTGGCACCGGTCTCCCCCTGCAACCCCCGACTCCTCCGTCTACAGCACCACCGTCGACCGGGGGGGACGAGCTCCCGGCGCTGCTTCTCCGCCGCCGGTCCTCGCCTACCACCTCGCCTGTCTTGCCGGCTGCCGGGACCATCCTCCGCCGGCTCACCGGACGTTCGCCGCTCGGGAGGAGCCTGTGCGGCTTTGGCTCAAGCGCCTCAAGGGCGGCCTACGATATCTCCGATATGCTCGACGAATTCCAGTCCACCGAGCCGGACGCAGGGAAGGTAAACTCCTGACAAACCAAATTAACTTGTCCTGGGTCTGACCAAGTTGGAGTAGGAACATTTTGCCCAATTTTTGTAGTATTACGTTGTGGGATTATGGCACATCACTTTTTTTTTTTGGTAAATCTGGTGTATCGGATAGATGAAACATGGGGCTAAAAGTTTGTGGGATGCCATAAATTTGATCTTGAACCAAACACTATGTACAAAAGAGCTGATGTTGGAGTAACATATAGGCATTGTTTAGTTCGCGAAAAGAAAATTTTTGGATGTCACATCGGATGTTTGACCAGATGTCGGAAGGGGTTTTTGGACACGAATAAAAAAACTAACTTCATAACTCGCCTGGAAACTGCGAGACGAATCTTTTGAGCCTAATTAAGCCATCATTAGCACATGTGGGCACCGTAGCACTTATGGCTAATCATGGACTAATTAGGCTCAAAAGATTCGTCTCGCGATTTCTATGCAAACTGTGCAATTAGTTTTTGTTTTTATCTATATTTGATGCTCTATACATGTGTCTAAAGATTCGATGTGACATTTTTGGGAAAAAAATTTGGGAACTAAACCAGGCCATACTCTCTCCGTCTCATAAAAAAATAAGGCCATGCTCTCTCCGTCTCATAAGAAACCAACCTATTACTAGATGTAATACATCTTAATACAATAAATCTGGATGTGCCTATGTCCAGATTTATTCTACTAGAATGTGTCATATCCAATCATAGATTCGTTTTTTATGGGACGGAGGGAGGGAGTATATTGGTACAGAGGAATTTGTAGTACGGTTTATCTAACTTGGTTGCAACATTAAGTCAACGACCTGTTGTGTATATCTGAGATCCAGTAACCAATTTTCAAAACCATTTTACATAATCTTCTTGCACTGAACTACTTCTTCAATGTCGTCAAAGTGAACAATCCTGTGTTCGTTAACAGTTTGGCCAGGTTTCCATCAATATAAATTGTAGCTTGTGACTTTTCACTAATTCTCACGTATATTAATAAATCAAATGAAATTTATTGCAGAAAAAGGGAGTGTTCCACAAACTTGCAACTGCACCTAGCAGGTTTCCTATGGCTAGTAAGATGAAGAGGATGAGAAAGGAATTGGCAAAGAACACAGAGGAACACAAGAATTTCAGTTTTGTGCCAAACACTGCTTCCTTTGAGCAGCATCGTGCAGATCCGCGGCCTCAATTACCTGAGTTGACTGATGAAAGTGTCATCATCGGGAGGTCCGAGGACAAAAGAAACATCATAGCTGCATTGCTGACAAGAGGCTCTGAAGAAAGTACCATTATTCTTCCTAGGCTGTGTTTAGTTCAGCGTAAAGTTTAGATTTTGGTTAAAATTGGAGATGATGTGACTGAAAAGTTGTGTGTGTATGACAAGTTGATGTGATGGAAAAGGACTGAAGTTTGGATCCAAACTTTGGATCTAAACACAGCCCTATTTATGGGATTGGAGGCATTGGTAAAACAACGTTGGCACACATGGTTTTTGATGACAGCCATTTCACAAAGTACGATTTCCATGCATAGGTCCATGTGTCTCAGACCTTTGATTTGGATAAAATAGTGAACACAATAATTTCACATGTTGCATATCCAGAAAAGGAGAGCTTTATTTCAGATATTCAGTTGATGAGAAAACGCCTTGCCGGTCTACTAGAAGGCCGAAGGATTTTGATTGTTTTAGATAACATATGGGAGAGCGACCAATTTAAGCTGGACAATTTGAAGATTATGTTAAATGTTGGCAAGAAGGGCAGTGAGGTGGATGTCATAGTTACCACACGCACAGAAGAAATTGCCAAAAGAATTTGCACAGTGAAACCATACAAGCTAGAACCATTGAACGATGACATATGTTGGGCTATCATTAAAATATACAGTGCCTTTGAAGGTAGAGGTGATAAACAGCAGGTGGAGGTTATAGGGCAAGAGATTGCAACCAAGTGTGGAGGTATGCCCTTAGCAGCTCGAGCACTTGGGTACACTTTGTATTCCAAAGCAGTTGACAGATGGCTAGCACTGAACAACAGTGAAATATGGAACGAATGTTCCTCTGAAGAAGCATCTTTACCACATCACTTGGTGCTTCCATCCTTGAAGTTAAACTACTACAACATGCAATCTTATTTGAGGATGTGCTTTGCCTATTGTGCCATCTTTCCAAAAGGTGGCAATATCACAAAATACAATTTGATTCACCAATGGATTGCTCTTGGTTTCATCGAGCCATCCATCACATTCTCTGCTGCATAGCTTGCTGAGGACTACATAGAGCATCTCTTGGGAATGTCCTTCCTTCAACATTCTAAATCATATTCGGTAAGTAATCAGATGTGCACTTCTCTATAAAGAAACAAACCTAGTTCTTTTTTTTTTTGAAACAGTAGACGGTAGGAGATCTACCGGATATATTAGAAGAAGAGAGTTGACCCTGTTTATAAGGAAAACCAGGCCCGAAAACCATACAACTGCACAGTTTGCTAAAGGGAAACCGGCAAAAACCTTACACAGAAGACACGAAAAAGCCTGCGACAAAACTACGAACCGCAGTAGTGACCGAGGGGAGAGCAAGACCCTCAAGGCGAAGCCTCCAAGGAGGTGAACAACGACAGAAGCCGCTGCCGACGCCCGCCCAAAGAACTAGGCTGGGTTTTCACCCAAAGGGAGAGAAAGTCCATAAGGCAACACCTCCAAGGAGGAAACGGCGCCCGCAGACGTCGATGTTGCCGATCCTGGAAGACCAGACAAGGCTTTCGCCTAAGACTTCCTCAAAGGTGTAGAGCCTCTAAGAAACCAGAGCCAGAGTGTTAAGTGTTATCGTTGCCTGGCTCATCGGCTGAACCCGATGCAGCAGCTCCGACTCCGCCTTAACACAAAAACTCTAGCATCGTAGAGGGCAAGCACCCTGCTCAAAACTCGGCACTACGACAGATTCACACGGACACAGGACACTTGAAGGACTGGCGAGACCTAAGAGCCCTGACTACAAACAAACTGGACCCCAAACACGGACGAACACTTCTCCTCAACCACCGAAACGCTCCACGGCCGGGTCTGGAGATGGCCAAAAGAAGGGAGGAGCACCAAGGAGTGAAGGAGTCGTGGCCGGCATGAAGAGGAACAGAGAGCTGAAGACAGGGGCAACAAAGACCACGGTGTCTTCCATGAATCCGGCGAGGAACTCTGGCCATCACGGGACAAACCCTACGACTGCTGCAACCACCACCAACTTCACCGCCAGCGCAGAGAGCACATTGGGGCGAGCAGATGAGCAACTAAGAAGAAGTGATGGTGAGGGGAAGGGAGGAAGGGATGTGCGGTGAGTGGAGGGGGGGCCTGAGCAGCTGCCGGCGATGGCCGGAGGAACAGAGAGGAAGAGAAAAAGGAGGAAGACAGCAAGGGAGAAGGAATGGGTGGTTGCAGGGGCGGCCTCCGCAGATGCCGGCGACGGGAGGGTGGTCGGAGACCAGACTCACCAACCACGGAAGGCCGACCACCGGTGCGTACTGGCGCCACGCCGCCACGCAGACGCCGGCAAACCACCGCCCATACTCCGGCGCACGCGCCGCCGCGCGTGACCGCCGCCTCGCGAGTCGACTTGCGTGACGACCCCGCCGCCTCGCACGCCGCTAGACGCTGCAGCGGCCACCGCCAGCCGCGCCACCTCCGCTTCGCGCCGCCCCACGACACCACCGTCGGCGCACCGTCCAGATCCGGCAACGGCGGTGCCGGATCTACCGCCGCCTGGCCGGGATTCCTCGCCGCCGCCACTCTCCGCCGCCGGCAAAAAAACTCCACCTCCCCCACGCCTGAGAGGGGGCACCACTGCGGAGAAAGCCCCGCCGCCGCCTTCCTAGCTCGCCGGCCGGCTTTGCCGGCGGTGAGCTCCGGCGGCGGCGAGGTAGGGGAGGGGACGAGGGTGGTCGGCGCCGGTGGTAGGGTTCGCCCCCATGTCGCCTGCGTGTGGGCGACGCGGGGGTCTTTTTCAAATGATGGATCATTTTGCTTGGCACATCATCAATCATTTTGCCTTGGCACATCTAATATGATAAAACAGCCACATATTATAAGGTTTTTGAAGTAGTATATTACTTTTGAAACAAATCTCCATCTCAAGTCACCAAAACAGTATAATAGGATGATTATAATTGACGATTTGACGTTTCCATACACAACTTGCTTTGTGCAGATTAGTCAAAAGGATGATAGACTCGTAACATTGACCATGCATGATCCTGTGCATGACATGGCAAGATCAGTCATAGATGATGAATTAATTGTTCTAGATGATACGAAAGAAAATAAATGTGGGCAAAGCACTTACCGCTACGTATTCATCACCAACTATGACAAGCCATCAAAGGAATTCTCCATGATTTTACATGGAAAGATAAGGGCTCTCCATTTGGTGGGTTGTAGCAAAACAAAACTCAATGATGGAGCATTTTCATCTGCGAAGTGCTTGCGTGTCTTGGATTTAAATCATTGCTCTATACAGAAGCTTCCTGATTCCATCTATCAACTGAAGCAGTTGCAATATCTTCATGCGCCACAGGTTAGAGATGGAGTGATTCCTGAATCTATTAGCATGTTGTCAAAATTAAATTACCTCAACCTCCGTGAATCTCCTAAAATATCGAAATTACCCGAATCAATTGGCAAGCTTGAGGCTCTGACGTACCTCAATTTATCAGGCTGCTCTCATCTCGTAGAATTTCCAGAATCGTTTGGGGAACTAAGAAATTTGGAGCACCTTGATTTATCAGGCTGTTCTCGACTAGTAGAATTGCCAGAAACAGTTGGAAAACTTGACGCTCTGATGTACCTCAATTTATCAGGGTCTAGAATAGTAGAATTGCCAGAATCATTCAGGGAACTAAAAAATTTGGTGCACCTTGATTTGTCAAATTGTACTCATCTTACAGATGTATCTGAACATTTAGGTAGCCTCAACAGGCTGTATAGACCCCGATTATATTCAAGGTGCTTAGTTGCTTACCCTCGCAGAAGAAAAATTCAAGGTGCTTATCTGAAGTTTTGGGTAGCCTCACCAGACTGCAATATCTGAACTTGTCTTCAGAACTCTCTAGTGTTCAGAAGGAAAATGAAGCTTCACACATTCATATGCAAAATGTGATGGATGCAATATCAAGATTAGTGTATTCAGATTCAGGATATTCAGCACGTGGGATACTATCAGAAGCTTTGGGTAGCCTCACCGAACTCAAGTACTTAAACTTGTCAGGGTGCCTTCTCATGGTAGTATTGCCTGGATCATTTGGAAACCTTGAAAATTTGGTGCATCTAGATTTATCCGGCTGCTCATGTTTGGAATGGACACCAGATAATTTGGTCGGCCTTACAAAACTTCAACATTTGAACTTATCACACTACTGCACAGGGACTCCCAGATCATCTATGCCATCTCAGGGGGCTGCAAGATATTTTGATCGGTCTTACCGAACTGCGGTATTTATATTTAGCTCAGGGCCTAACACCTGTGTTCAGTTACCTAGCTGATAGCCTCAGATACATTGAATGCATTAGCACACTCTCCAATTTAGAGCATTTTAGATTTGTCTGGAAATCTCTATCTTTCTTGTCTTCCTGAAAGTTTTGGAAGCCTCAAGAAGCTACATACCCTGAACCTCTCGAACTGCTGCCATCTAAAGAGCCTACCAGAAAGTTTATGCGAGATCGATTGCCTCAAGCTCCTATATGCGACAGGTTGCCAGGGACTGGAGTCAGTCAAGACAAGAGTCCATCTCAGCTCCACCAGAATTCTTTTTTAGACGATGGAAATGGTTTACTTCTCCGCCCTGTGCTGTTAGGCACACAGCCAAAGCTCTACCAGAATTTAGTTTTGTTGCCAAACTTTGTGGTTCATGTAGGTGATAACGAACTTGGAAGCAATATTTTTTTGCTTCAGGATGCAAATCCTGCGGAGTTGCAGATAAGTTGTCTAGAAAATGTACAATCCACAGGAGAAGTCAAGAGGATAAAGCTGTCACAGAAAACAAGCATCTCAAAACTGGCACTTGAATGGAGAAGGGATGCCAAGAGATTTGCTGATGACATGAATGTATTGGAACAGCTAGTGCCACCAAACACTTTGAGTCAGTTCGAGCTACGAGGTTACAACAATGTTTGCCTTCCAAGATGGTTAACATGCATTTCTTCATATCTCCCTGATCTTGTACGGATTGTGCTGGATGATATCCCGAGCTGCAGTAGCCTACCACCACTTGGTCAGTTACGAACTTGCAGGAATTGACTCTTAGAAGCATGCCTAGCATTAGTAAAATCGATGGGGATATCTGTGGTGGCAGCGAACCCTTCCTTCAACTGATAAAATTTACCCTTGATAGTATGGAAATCCTGGAGGAATGGAGGACATCATATAATGACCATGGTGATAAGGTGTTCATGTTCCCAAGTTACAAGAATTGGAAATATTGGACTGCCCCAAGTTGAAGTTGAAGCTATATGAGCCAAGAGCTTTCCAGTGGAAAATATCGAACAGTGATAATATAGTAACATCATGTGGAGGTGGACAATACACTGGCCCATCATCGTCTTCGTCATCAACTACCTTGGATGTCCAACATTGCAAGGTGCCGCTGGATCAGTGGACATTGCTTTGTCACCTCCCTGCCCTACATGAGCTGAGGATATACGAGTGTGACGACCTTACCTGCAGCTCACCTGAGATTATTGAAAGCCTTTCTTCCATTAAACAGATAACAGTAGAGTGTCAAGACATGGTAGAACTGCCAGCAAGTCTGTGTCAGTTCAAATCTCTTCCGAAATTGATTCTGTGGAAATGCTTGAAGCTGAAGTCATTGCCAGAGAGCACGAAGCATCTCACGTCCCTGAAATCGCTATGGATGGTCGGTTGTTCAAGCATGACATCCCTACCGGAAGGGCTGGGCCACCTCGCCTCTCTCATGGAACTGAACATCAATGACTGCCCACACCTCAAATCCTTGCCGGAGAGTATACAACTGCTCCCCATGCTTGAAGTTGTAAAAGTTTCCTACTGTCCTGAATTAAAGAGGTGGTATGAAATAGAGGAGAACAAGATGAAGCTTGCTCACATAGGAAAGAAAGTAAGTATTAACCCAGCAAACCTACTGTTTCTGCAGTTATTTATGCTTACATTGTTTGCAGTGCTTTATTGCCCCTAGTCTGCACTGCTAATCTTGTTGAGCACCTTACTGTACAAATAATGTTTAATTCTTCTTTTAGAGGAGAAATGACTATTATGATATGGTTGATCATCTTGGTCAAAATATATGAAACTAAGGAATATTTAATGACAACAAACAAATTAAGCATTAGAATTACCTCCATTGTGCAATTAATGCATGAATGAAAGAACACACGAGCATGCTTGAGTGTTTAGGATTTAAAAATAATCACAGAACATTGGTTTAGTTTCACTTTTAAATTTTGGAATAATAATATCCTAACCACTGCTTCTGAAGATGCACAAAGCAATAATCACTTATTACAAGTTTCCATTCTGATTGCTTTATAGTATCATAACGACTAGTAAATTTTAAGGAGTCTGACATAATACATGTGCTGCTAGTGCTGGCTGTACCTCTTTATTTCTAATCTATCCATAAATTTACTATGAGGTATAGTTAATCTCCTGAATTCAAAATAAGAAAAGGTAATTTAATAGTTGCAATTGAATATTTTGTGGATGAATAGTGCGAAATCAAAACTAGTACATTCATTCATTTCTAACAGTGGTACTGATACTAAACGCATTAGAATGGTATTCACAATATTAAGGTCAGCTTATTCTCTCTCTATCTCTCTCTCTAAAAAAAGACGTGAATATTAGGGAAATACCTAATATCAAATAATTAGAAGGGGTGAGGTTTTGAACCTAGGTTATCACTAGTACAGATCCTTCTATCTGTGACGGGCTCTAATATGCTTAGAAATAGCGGGCCGTTACAAGGAAGTCATCTCAATCGGGCCGAAAAGTGTCCGATTGAGATATGGTCGCACAGACATGTTAGATGGGCATAAAACTTAAGCCCGTCATGGATGACACCTATCAGTGACGGGCCGTAGTTTAGTCCCGATTGAGATAACATTCCATATCTCAAACGGGCCTAAAGTTGCAGCTCGTCACTGATTGAGATAGCATTCCATATCTCAAACGGGCCTCAAATTGTGGCACATCACAGATGACCAACATCCGTGACAGGCCATAACTTGAGGCCCGTTTGAGATAACAACTAGGCCCGTCACAGATGACTCATCAGTGACGGGCTATATACTTAATCTCTATCGGGCATTAACTAAAGCCCGTCACCGATGACTATTTTTCAATTTTTCATATGAAATGTTTATATTTGTAAGTTGACTATAGCAAAATAATTAAGTGCAGTATAATAATTCATTTTATGAGTCAAAATAATTTTACGGGTAGTAAAAGATTTCAAATGGAAAAAATATCAACAACAAAGTTGTATAACTTATTCACTTTGTTGTTGATGACTTTTTCAGTTGAAGTCGTTCACTGATCTAAAATTCTATTTGAACTTTTCAAACTTTGAATTTCAAATTTCAAATTGTTTAAATAGAGTCAGATGGAAAAATGACCAAAATAAAAATTAAACACCTCGATGAGTTCTACAACTTTGGTTTTGGTGACTTTTTCCATTTGAAATCATTTAATAACCCCAATTTGACATCCTGGCCTAGGGCTTATTAGGATTAATAGAATATACTTATACCAACAAGTTACAACTACTTTTCTGGAAGCCAATCGACTGACTGGGAAAATCGACTGACTGGGAAGTTTGAACTTCCCGCGTGGGTGCACACGAGTGCAGGGCTAGCCAAAAAATAAAATTTATTTATTTTTGGATTGTACTCATCGCCCGTAACAGATGACTCATCTGTGACGGGCTATAGTTCCCGCGTGGGTGCACACGAGTGAGGGCAGGGCTAGCCAAAAAATAAAATTTATTTATTTTTGGATGTACTCATCTGTCATCTGTGACGGGCTATAGTTCCCACGTGGGTGCACACGAGTGAGGGCAGGGCTAGCCAAAAAATAAAATTTATTTATTTTTGGATGTACTCATCTGTGACGGGCATTGATGCCCGTCACAGATGACTCATTTGTGATGGACTATATTTGATGCCCGTCATAGATAAGGGTCATCTGTGACGGGCGCTAGTTGTGGCCCGATTGAGATAGGTCATCCGTGACGGGCTATAGTTTGACTGGTCGTCTGGGTCAAAGCTATCGGTGACGGGCTTTAATTAGGGCCCGATTGAGATAGATTTATCAGTGACGGCCGTTTGCCCGATTGAGATAACTCTTCACATCTGTGACTTCTAGCCTGTGACGGACGCCGTGCCCGATTGAGATGGGGTTTACCGCCCGATTGAGATGATGGTATCCCTTCTAGTGTATCTAACCCACCACCTTGTGAAGCTAGACGGAAGACCCTGAGCGTTTCCTCTCTCTCTCTCCGCACTCTTATATTTATTCTGTGTTGTTATTTTAATGTTATGCTAGAAAGTTTATGTCCGCTCGTTGTTCTAGTGCAGAACTCTGCTACAATATTTGTACATTGCTATAATCTATAAACTGCAGTTTCAGCTAACGAAAATGTTTATTTCTTGAATCTGCAGTATATTCTTTAGTTTTACAAACTGAACAGTATCAGCATCAAATTGGACCGATACGCAATACTGTGCCTGTGAGAAACTGAGATTTATTGGGGTTGGAGGAAGGTCATCAGAAAGTAGAGACTGTTCTGTAGTTCTGTTTGCTTGATTTGAGTAAGTAGCCAGTAGCCTTTCTTTTTTTTTTGTATGTGCATGTGTGTAGAATTGAGACATATATGCACTCAAGTTCCTGGGCATTCTTATCAGTAGGAGGATATTATTATCTGTACTTAAAGAAATGTGCAGGAATGAACTTTGATGATTTAGCATCTTGATTTGCGTGAATTAGAAGGCATCGTACTAAAAGAAGCAATTTGTTACGCAAGTACTTTTAGAATTCCAAACTGAAACACATAAATTCTTCACTAAAATGACCTAAGGACTTCTTCGTGCATCTTGCACCTATTTACTCAAATAAAAATCTTGAATTTTACAGTCTATTTGATGCTTAAAAGCCCTCTACATGTTTTTTCTTGTAGAAAATGAGCATCCTATTTAGCAAGAGTTAATATTAGTCTGTTCTTTGCAAAAGCAGGAATTAGACATTTTGTGCGTTCGCGAAAAGAATTATTCATTTGCGTGCCATCTCCTTGCAAAATCAGGAATTAGACATTTACTCTCCGTGGGGAGATCGATTTGTTCCCTTCGTTGCAAGATTATGATGCATTGATGCAGTAATGTAATGCTCCAAAACAGTGCAAATAAATTGGGGTGGGGGGGGGGGGGGGGGGCAAGGGCGAGTTGGAAAGATTCTGCTCCAATGACGAAAATGAGATTTCTTAGTACTCTTTTCCGTTCAGATAAATTTCTATAAAGTTTGGTTTATTGATTTAGTATTATCCATTTGTTGAAAAAGCAAATAAAAAATATTGAATGTGAGTGGAACCTATAATATACGGCGCATGGCGACAAGCAGTGATTAATGACATTTTAATTCTTGAAGTCTGAGTTTGGTTTTTATTTGTCACCATTTGTTCATGCTCAAATGGGTTGCACCAGGATTTTGAATACTATTGGATTTTTAATCTTTCTCCTTGGCTATGTAAAGTATGCTCACGCAAGACGTATGTTTATATATGTTTCCAGATATGTTGAATTTGCTCATAGCTGATCTCCTTTGTTTTATGGCCAGATGTCTTGAGAAATTACTGTAACTTTTACTAATATATGAAGATTATAAAGATGTGAGAAATTCCTTTTTCGCCAAAATAAGGTGTTCCTCTGCAAGGCACGTGTACTGGATGATTGTTTTGGAAGATGCATGTACTCGAATATTTGGATTCACATATTTCGTTATTATTAAACATTTCTTCAATATAGTTTTTTTTCTTGAAAGAAATACAGTATGAACTTAGGTGGCCATGCACGTACACGCGCGCGCACATACGCTATCTGCACCAGGAAGAGATAGTACCAAGGTGGCGAACGCAACCCTAAAATATAGATAGCAAGGTGGATATACTCGATAAAAACAGGTAATTGCAACACATACCATATAAGATTCTAGGATTCATATGGAATACTCCGAAATTCATCTATTTCGATGGGGCCCGAGACATTGACTTTCCATTTCTCCCATAGTAAACTATGATGTTTGTGGTAAAATTGGTTAGAATTTGTCTATTTCAGCAGGTCCCAAAATTCTTATGCAATTGAATCCATCCCAGAACCCTATCATATTTATATTGCAATTGCCTAAAAATAATGTACAATCAATATATTTCAATTGCAACACATATCAAGCGTGACACCAACAACCAGCCGCTAGCGCTGGGGTCTGTTGCGGTGCTTTCTGCAGCAGCTGCTGCAATCTGTTTGGCTAGACCTTTGGCTTCGCCACGAAAACGGAATTGAATATTATTGGATATACTGAGCGAATATGAACTGAAACAAATTCGGTGACGAATATAAATCGAAACATAAAAACCCCTCAAACTAAACATCACACATCTCTACTAGTTAAAAAATAAGAGGTGTTTCCGTCGTCCGTGCAAAAAAAAATCTGGCGAAAAAAAAACTGGGCAAAAAAATTGGGTGAAAAAATCGGGCTAAAAAAAGAATCCAATTCCGTGTAAAAAGGGGATGAAAAATAAATAAAAAAATGCATCTGCCCGATTAAAAAAAAGGAATCGGGTGAAAAAAAAAACTGGGCGAAAAAAAATCTGGTGAAAAAAACGAATCTGATTCCGTGGATGTGGCAAAAAAAAGTTAGAAAAAAAACTAAAAAACGAAACTATCCGATTCAAAAAAAAGGAATTATATATGACGTGGTAAAAAAATTCAAATTCTATTATATGTGACACGGTACTATATATCTCTATCTCTATCTCTGCTACTTAGAAATTTAAAAACGTTCAGGCATCCGTAATAATAAAAAAAGGGCAAAAAAAGCATTAAAAAAAGAAAGTATGATTCAATTTACTTCCGTCGTCCATGAAAATCTTATCTTATTTTAATCTCAATCTTTCCAAGGGGACCGAGCAGCGCCCTCCATTCCCGCCCATGCGATGAAACGCCGGCCAAAGAAAAAAAAACCAAAATTGAGCAAAGGATAAACTAGATTGAAGTTCCCAAAATTAAAAGAGGATAAATGATATTGAAACTCCCCTAACTCGAAAAGAGGGAGTAAAATAGATTGAAATTTCCCGACAAAATTCCCCAAATTCGAAGAACCCTAATTTTGGGTAAGAACCCTAAGAGTCAAAATCCAAATCAATTAAGCTAAGGGTTCGGGTTACTTACCGGACTTGAAGCCCCTAAGCTCACCGGAGCTTTCCGGGAAGCGGCACCGCCACACCTTCACCTCCTTGCAGTCGCGTCGGGTTCCCCGTGCGCGTGCTATCCTGGATCACCCCTCCACTGTCCCTTGCCGTAGACTGGAAGTGTCGGCTTGGCGTCGCCCCTCCCGCCGATGAGGTCCAGGCTACTCGGCGCTCGTCGCCGTTTGCGCGCCCGCCTAGCCGGACCACCAACACCGTGGCACGACTTTGCGCCCCCTCGGGTGTGCCCCCCCCAGCCGGCAAAGCAGGAGCTGCTCGGCGGTCGTCACCGCACGCGCGCACCAGCTCGCCGGACCGTCGTCGCCGTCTTCGCCATCGTTCCGCTCGCTCGTCGCCGGAGAGAAATGGGATCGGGAGAGAGGGATTTGGGAGCTAGGGTTTTGCCCCTCTCTCCCGGTCGGCACTTTATCCGGCGCGGTGACGATCAGAGCCATCCATTAGATCGAACGGCTCAGATTCGCCCAGCGTTGGGCCGCCACCGCCGGTGATTACGTTGCGCCCAATGGGCCGCGGAAGCGCATCGGACCGTCCTCACATATGTGGGCCGCGCTCAGCTGCTCGGCTTGCGGGCCGTTGAATTGGATCGGCTCGCCGAAGATGGGCCAGCCCAAGTTTGGGCCGGCTTGGGAAGACCTAGGCCAAAAGCAAATTTGATCAAACAATGTGGCTCGGATTTTTTAAATTAAAGTCCTCGGATAAACTCCTAAGTAGGCTCAAAAAATAAATCTAAAACTAAATCCTAAATCCTATGTGTTAGGGTTATGGATACCACATACCTAATAGTAGTTGACTAAATCTTGGCAGGACCCACCACATACCATGTCTTATACGGAAACAACCTTCGGATATAGGAGGAGTGAAGCATAAGGAAGAAACAATTGAGTTCTACATGGAAACGACAATGACTATTCGGATTGTATCCATATTGGTTTCCCTAGTTCTACTTGGACAAGGGGGCACCTATGGGTATAAATACAAGGCCCCCTATAAGGAGGGAGGACACGGAACAATAGATCAAGACACAAGATCAACATACAAGCCAACATATGCCAAGACAAGCCGCCGGATAGGCGGATATTGACATCGGAGATAAGCCTAGTTTGTCCCCATACGGTTCCTACGACTACCGTCAGGAGGGATCTAGCGCTGTCTCTGATCTCGCCGGACACGGATTCGAGGAGGAAGACTACTCTGTCGTCGACTACGGGATGGTTTTATGGCCATCAAGTCAACAACAAATAGATAGGCTACCCCAAATATTGTACTGGTATGATTATGATGAATAAGAGCAACGATCGGCTTCGGCCAACAGGAGTAGGGTTATTACCTGACAATTCAGGGGCCCGAACCTATATAATAATCCTCGTCCCCATCTCTTTTATTACAATCTTGCGTATATCCTAGTACCAACGATCCCCATACTATGCAAATACCAGAATCGCGACATCGAACGTCGATACTATGCTAATTCATCAAATTAAACTTGGTTCTACCTATTTATTAATATATCAAATTAGACTTGATTTTTACTTATTTGAGGTTTTCAATGTGTCGCACTATCAAATGGTGTTTTTCCCGTTGCAACGCACAACCACTATTGCTAGTCAACGAAGAAATATAACTCATTATTTTTTCTAATAGGACATATCAACATTTCCAAATTTTAGCGATTAATAATACCATAACGAGAAACAACCACAAACTTGCACACACTGACATAGTCACACATGAATACACGATCATTCGCACAAACTTGCACCCACTGACATAGTCAAGTCACCCAAATTATTCCCTCCGTCTAAAAAAAAAAAAGACAAACCCTAGGTTTTCATGTCCAACGTTTAACTGTCCGTCTTATATGAAATTTTTTTATAATTAGTATTTTCATTGTTGTTAGATGAAGTCACCCAAATTATTCCCTCCGTCTCAAAAAAAAAAAACAAACCCTAAGTTTTCGTGTCCAACGTTTAACTGTCCGTCTTATATGAAATTTTTTTATAATTAGTATTTTCATTGTTGTTAGATGATAAAACATGATTAATACTTTATGCGTGACTTGTCTTTTTAATTTTTTTCATAATTTTTTCAGATAAGACGAACAGTCAAACATTGGACACGGAAATAAAGGGTTTATCTTTTTTGGGACGGAGGGAGTATGTCTTTAGCACAAACTTACACACACTGACTGACAGACCTTGTCCCAGAGTCCCAAACAAGTTTAACCGACTTTCATCGAGACGGAACAAGTATTTGAACTAGTGTTTGTGACCGAGAGAAATCGAGGTCATAAAACGCGCGCGTTATTAGCGTTTCTCCTTCGACCGAGTCGCCGCTCCCGATCCCAATTCCCCCGTCGCCCTCCACGAAACCCTACCCCTAAACCGATCACCCCTTCCCCGGCGGACGCAACCGGCGGCCGGCGAGAGCGAAGATGCCGGCCACCGCGGGGCGCGTGCGCATGCCCGCCAACAACCGCGTCCACAGCAGCGCGGCGTTGCAGACGCACTGCATCTGGCAGAGCGCCATCGGCTACGACCCCTACGCCCCGGCGGAGAGAAGCAAGCACCAGGCTCCCTCATCCTCCTCCGTCTCCGCCGCCGCCGCCGCCGCATCAGCCCCCTCCGAAAACACCTACACTAGCTACCAGAGCCTCCTCACGATCATCCGCGCCACCGGCTCCACCTCCGACGAGACCCGCGGCGGCTGCCGGAAGTGCGGCCGCGTCGGCCACCTCACCTTCCAGTGCCGCAACTTCCTCTGCGTCAAGGACCTCGATATGGACGACGACGTCGAGGCCGGTATTCGTCAGGCCGCCTCATCGCAGGCCAAGCTCGACGAGTTCAGGAAGAAGACCTCTGGTGGTAGCAGCGATGCTGAGGAGGGCTCCGCTGAGGATGATGAAGAAGACAGCTATGATTCCTCCGATTCTGACATTGATCCTGAGCTTGAGAGAATAATCGCTAAGCGGGAGCTCCACAAGGATGGCAGTAAGCAATCGAGGGAGGAAGAGAAGAAAGAGAAGAAGACAAGCCGCCAAAGGAGGAGCAGCAGGGGAAGGTCGAAGCACAGGAGAAGCAGCAGCAAAGAAGACAAGAAGAAGAGTAGACGCAAGAGGCGTGAAAGATCATGTGAGGAGGATAGCGAGACTGATTCAGACAAGAAGATCAAGAGGAGGCATCATAGGAAGAGCAGCAAGGAGGAGAGGGAGAGGGGTAGGAGCCGCCACCGCCGCAGGAGCTACGACGACGACTCATCGGATGACGATCACCACACGCTGCGGCGGCGCCGCCGCCGCCGCAGAAAGGATGCATTCGATCGGCAGTGATTCTGGAAGTGGTGGTCGTGACCCTGCTGAATCTCATATGGGTGGCAAAGCGGCGCAAGGAGGAGCAGGAGATCTTTCTGGACAATATTTTCCCTTTATCGACGAGTTCTGACTTTGCCCTCTATTCACAGATTCCTGTTGTATTTTTCAAGATTGAAAAGTGCAGTATTTGGGGACTATATACTACATTCTTCCTTTAATATAAGGGATTTTGACATTTTACTTGTACTGTTTGACCACTCATCTTATTCAAAAATTTTTAGAATTATTATTTATTTTATTTGTGACTTACTTTATTATTCAAAGTACTTTAAGCACAACTTTTCGTTTTTTATATTTACACAATTTTTTTAAATAAGACGAGTGGTCAAACAGTACAAGTAAAATATTAAAATCGCTTATATTAGAGGATGGAGGGAATATCTAGTTTCCACGAGAAGATATTTTTCCTTTGAGGACATCCTTTAGTTTTATGCATATGGTCTAAAATGTTATCAATAAATTCTAAAAAAAATATTGAGATATATCAATATGTGATGTCATTCCACGAGCATGCAAATCTAATTAGAGGAGTTACGTGTTTTATTTAGAGTCAAATTTGTTTTGTTTACACTATGTAACTCTTAATCACGCAAACATCTGTACATTCTATTATGCGGCGCAAACACGGAACAAACGCATGCTAATCAATGCACACAGTAGAGTGAAATCATACTAATTCTTTTATCCTGGTTCCATTGAATCACACATACTACTCTGCGTAAAGAAACTACGATCACATCGCCTAAAGAAAAAAGAAAAAAAATCGGCAGAAACACGATGGCAACTAGATGAGGCGACCACAACACGAGGTACAACCATCCCGCATAGCAGCCCTCAAGCACAATGGGAGCCTACTGACTGCTCCATCTCCATCACGTGTGGGCATTCCCCTACTTGCCGGAGGCGAAGACGATCACAATGGACGGGGTGGTCCTAGCTAGATCGGAGGAAGTGAGGAACTGAATGTACTCCTATCAGGGTTTTAAATCTCCCGCTATAACTGTCGATATCTCCTGCTATAGCTGTTTGAGAAGGGTTCTAACTATTTGCTATCATGTACAATTTAGCCGCTATAGCTTCATTTAGCCCATTATAGCTGCAGCTATAGCTGTTTGGGAAGTTTACCGCTAAATGCCTTAGCCCACTATTTAAAACATTGACTCCTATACAGAGAAAAGGTAATTCAGATCAACGAGAGTTTGGGCTGCTTGGCAACTTCCTCTTGCGTGTAGCTGGAACCGTATATAAGCACCTCAGCCCCATCAGTGTTCGGAGCGGCGTCGGCGGGAGGGCACAGGCAATGTTCGTCAAGGCATTTGGACACGTCGAAACCCATGAGATCAGGCCGGTCGAGATAGCCGCTACCCGGGAGACGTCTCCACGACAGGAGACTCTCGTTGCGTATGTCGAGACCGATCAAGTACTGCCGCTCCTCCTCAACGAGGACGCCGTCTTCCTCGTCGTCGTCGTCGCTCTCGTCCCCGACATCAGAGTCCCACCCCTCGGACTCGGAGGCGGAGCTGTCTTCACGACCCGCGGACGCGAGGTCATCAGCCGACGAGACCATGTAAATGACACCGTCTTGCTTCGTGCTCAGGATGGGATGGATCGGCATGACCTCCGGCAACCCGGCGTTCTTGAAGCCGTCGAGTCTCCACAGCGTCGCCATGCTCAGCTCGTGGAGCTTCTTCCACTTCCACTCGCCGGTGGCCGGGACCAGAGCCCACACCGCCAGCGTTGTGCTGGCCGTGAATTCCTGGCGGTGGAGACCGTCGCCGATGGACACGAACTCGATCGTGTCGCCGACGCGGCTCATCGTCCGGTACCTCTGCGGCTGCCTCCTCGTGGTCCAGTTGGCGTCCAGCCGGCACTCCGGCGGCAGCGCGAGGTACCGGAACTCGACGTCGTAGCCGCCGGAGAGCACGTCATCGCAGCTGCAGCAGAGGACGCCCTGTGCGAGGTCGGCCCAGAAAGCGTGTCCAACTGTCCATCGAACGAGAACACCGTGTCGGCGGCGAAGTCGTCCGGCTTGTCGGAGGGTAAGCGCGGCCGCTTGGCCCGCCATGGCTCGATGCCCCTCCGTGTCAACAGCGGCAGCGGCTTAGAGGAGTCCGGCGGCGGCCACATGCAGAGGACGTCCTTGCGGCTTCGACCCCCCTGTTCGTCAAACACCGAGGCGCTCGCCATGAGGGCCAAGGTGTAGCCACCACCATCGCCGTCGCCGCCACGGCGGCGCACGGGGAGAGGCCGCTGCGTGAAGGTGGGTCGGCAGTTAGAAGGTAAGTGGGGAATCATGGAGAGCGACGTCTCGGCGGCTTCGTAGACGACGTAGAAGCAGATATCGGGGCAATGCGGCACCGACGAGCTGAGGACGATGAGCTTCTTGTCCGCGGTCTCGACGATCGCGTTCGGGGAGAAACCTTTCGACTCGCCACCGCCGCTATCGTCGATGATCTCGCCGTTACCGCCTTCTGACTCGCCGCTTTTTAGATGCGGCGGCCGGGAGGAGCACGACCTGCACCTGCGGAGCTCGTCGGCGTTCAGGCGGACGTGTAGGGAGGACACACCCGGAGGCTCGGCGAGGCGCGCGTGGAGCGTCATGCCCCTCGCCATCGAGGCAGCGGCTCTCTTCTCGACCGGCCATGGGTGGGTGTAGAGGAGCTGCCTCTCCGTGCATTTGACGCCCACTCCGACGACCCTCTCTCGATGGCGCCCGGCGGCCGCCGCCCACGGTGCTGTCGAGCAAGACCCAGGAAGGCAAAGGACGCTGAACCGTCGGCGCCATGGCCGCCGTAGTAATCCTTCTCAAGCCGTTGGTGGACGGCGCGATTTACAGACGGCGGGGGACTGGGGAAGGAGACAAGGGCCCTGTTTGAGGGAGTTTGTGTCCCAGCTGCAGCTTAAAAAGCTGCTTCTATTAGAAACTGTCCCAAACAGTTCACAGCTTCTGAGAATCTGTAGTTACAAATTCTGAAAAATGAACTAAGAAGCCAGAAGCTGGAAAAGTTGGGTTTCAGAGTTTTTCCAGATTCTCAGAAGCTGGCTACCAAACAGCTGCTTCTTAGAATCTAAAACTCCCCCAAACAGACCTAAGATGGAAGACGACGAGTCCGCATCGGGGAAGAAGATGCGGGGTTCGATTTGATTTCCTTTTCGATTCACCACATGATCCAAAAATTCCAGATAAGGAAGAATTAGCGATCGGTTTGTTGAATACGATGTGACGCACTGGGTACCATTGCATTGGGATGGAGTAGTCATCTAGACCACACTGCTTCATTTCATTTGTTCGATTTTTCGCTTGCAAAATCCAGACCAGTCCAATCTGCAGTCAAAGCTAATCCAAAGTTCCAAATGGTGAAACAGACATGATTTATAAGATCCTTTCAACCCTATATATCTATAAAGTTTATCCCAGCTAAATATAGTTAATGCTAATTTTCTCTATCAAATTGAGTATGAGCGAGTAGCCAGCGTCGCGGCCAAACTGGCGTGGGAGGTCGGCAGCCCTGGGGTCACGGCAATGCACGCGGTCACCAGGGTTCAAAATTCCAGAATTTCATTTCTGAAATTTTAGAAATTTCGGAACCCTCTCCCCCACACCCCCCCTGCCGCGCCCGAATATTGTCAGGGTTACGGGTAAGATATACCCTCTACCCTTCGATATACGTTGTGTATCGATATGGTATGCCTGCGCGTATACGAACGTTTTCTGTATACATTAAGGAAATTCATCACGGAGTCCACAGATGGAAGGAGTCCTACTCGGACAGAACTGGGTCGTCACTGTATCGTGCAGGGTCCGATGTCTTTGAGTCCTACTTGGAGACCAACTGACCTGTGGTATAAAAGGGACCCCCAGGAGGACCTAAGGCATCGAATCTCACCGCTAACACGTCCACCACAACCTACGAAGCCGGAGCCTACAGGAGCCAAGTCGCCGAGTAATCTTAGTCGAACCTACTCGACTACGATCTCGTCGGTATCATCGAGTTCCATTATTCCCTTTGTAATCTGTGATTTCCATCATATAATCCCATATCAACTGGATTAGGGCTATTACCTATCAAGGGGCCTGAACCAGTATAATCTCTGTTTCCTGTTTGCTTGATCGTATCACGTAGATCCTCGTACCAGCGTACCCCAATACCCTCTATATCCGGTCTACGCGTATCCCCCGTCGATAAATATGATATTATTTTGGACGAAATTTTTATTTTTTTTGAACTTGGTAATATTTTGTTCAAATTTGACCAACTTTATTCAAAATTTCAAACCAAAATTTCGGTATATTGGTGACCTCCGATAGAATCGGCAAAACTGAAAAGCTAAACCCTAGCAATCATTGCTCTTTCACGATAACATGCACCTGTTTCTTTCTTTAGTATATATGCATGCATGCATACAAATTTTTAACAACCTATAAACAAATTATCTTCGAAACTATTTAGCCAATGTATAATTCGAATACATTGTTATATTTGTTGCAATTAAATCTTTACAAAAACATGTCACATGATTATATTCTGATGAAAATAATATACATTTTCAGCCATTGAAATTCCATGTTTCATGAATAAGAAGTTAATGTTTCAATGGGAATTCGACAATGTTGCACATTTTAAATTTTTGTGTTGTAAATTTTTTTTTATTTAATGCTGCACATGGTGTTACTTGGATTTTTTAATATTATTTTTTGTTGTTTCACTAGTTAATTTGTAAATATTGCACATTGTATTATTTGGATGTTTCAGTCAGTGCTCTGTGATGTTTCACCAGTTACAACTCGATATTTCATGTATTATATAAAAATGTTTTAATTATGAATATAATCTATTTACAAAGATTTAATTACAAACGAATACAATGGTATAATCGGATCATTAATCCGATAAATAGTTTAGAAGAAAAATAATTTCACAAAATAATAAAAGAGGTACATATATAGAGAGAAGGATGTAGACATGCACACACGGGAAAGAGAGAGAAAGTTGGGGACGTGCACATGCAGTGAGGAAAGGAAAGATGGAGGCATGCAACTGTTGTAGGGTAGCCGGTTTTTCGGGTTTTTATTGGGCGCCCAATTTGTAGTCTCATCCCCAGAAGGATGGTAGAGATTCATTTGAAGAAGATTTTTTGGATAGAACTCAGCATGAAACTTTTAAATAGTAGTAGTATTTAGTGGAATGATTTTCAAATAGTTGAATTCGTCGATTTTGGAATTTTGTATTGGTTTGGGAAAGCTAGATCAAGGAATTTTTGAATAAAGTTTGAGGAACTACTATGAATGGAACTTGATAAAATCGTGTTCTTGAGAACATTGGTGATTTTGATGGAATTTGATAGAATTGTGGGTTGATGGTTCAAATGAAGGCGAAACTGAAACGTGTGTGTGTTGGGGGGGGGGGGGGGCTGGAGAGGCTTTGACTCAACATGAACGAAAAATAACAAATATAAAACTTTTCACAATTTTTTTCCATGACAAATATAGTTTAGCTAGTCATTATTAAGGAAAATCAGGTGGTATATTTTAGTCTTGAGCTCAGTGCACCTAGATCCAACAATACTGAGCTCGAAGCGACCAGATCTAGTGCCTATGGTGTCATCATCCACATCAGAGCTTGGAGGTGAAGAGGTTAACGAGTGTGCTAAGGTTGGACGGGAACTTGAGGCCAGATCTATTTCGTTGATCCTCTATTGTATTCTTAAAGCATATGCTGGATATAGCGACTTTAAGATTAAAGCGATTGACTTAATGTACCATACTGTAGCTCATCTGTATTTTCTACTTCAATGCGGAGGATTACATTTTGTGTGGGCTAGGAGCTAGATCTCTAATGTTAAAAAAAAGGGAAAAGTCCATTTTACACCCTCGAACTCTTGTGCTTGTCTAAAATACACCCCCCTAACTACAAAACCGGATATAATACACCCTTGAACTATCAATACCGGACACTTAACCCCCCGGGCTGTTTTTACCGTGGTTTTTGCCATGTCGGATGCCACATCGGATGCCACGTCAGCGCAAAACATTAACATGGGCCAAGCCCATATTCTCTCCCCCTCTCTCTCCCTCCCTCCCTCCCTCCCTCCCCTGTTTGTTCTCCTCTCTCACGACCGTTGGCGGCGGCGGCGGCGCGGAGCTGTGAGGGCGGCTGCGGCGTGGAGCTGCGAAATCGACGGCTACGGCGGCGGCTGCGTGGCGTCGGCTTGGAGCCGTGAGGGCGGCGGCAGCGCGGAGCTGCGAAATCGACGGCTACGGTGGCGGCGTAGAGCTGCGAGGGCGGCGGCGGCTGCGTCGGCGTGGAGCCGCGAGGGCGGTGGCGGCGGCGGCGGCGTGGATCTGCGAGGGCGGTGGCGCTGCGAATCACGAGCTTGCTGCCTCACGCGGAAGTGGCCGACCTCGCCGAAGCCATACGCGCGGAGAGGAGTCATCCCTATGCAGCGCCGCCACCGCTTGGTCGAGGACGAGGTCGAGCTCAAGCTCTGCATCCGCCGCCGCCTCGTTGAGCTTGAGTTTCTCATCCCCAAGCAGCTCGAGTTCCACCGGCGAGCTCGATTCATGGAGAAGATGGAGTTATGGAGCTCCTAGAGGTGGCAGGAGAGGTGGACCTTTGAGCTCGTGCTCGCCGGCGGTCGGCGCGGAAGGGAAGGCTGGGGATGTGCTTGAGCTCCGTCGCCGCAACGAGTCCCCTGCTCCACGGCCGCCGATCTCCTGCTCAGCTCCACCGATGCTCTCTGTCTGGGAGGAAGAAGGATAGAGAAAGAAAGGGAAGAGGAGATGCGGAAAGAAGTGGCCACTAACGTGTGGCTCTAATTTTTATTTTTAGTTTTATTTGCTGACTAGACTTACACATCATTGCCACATAGATGAAAACCAGCTGAAAAACCACTTGAGAGTGTAAAGTGAACGGTATTGAAAGTTGGAGGGGGTGAAATATCTGGTTTTAGAGTTTTGGGTGTATTTTAGACAAGCACAAGAGTTCGAGGGTGTAAAATGGACTTATCCCTAAAAAAAATATGTAATGGTTTGACATTTTGAACCGTTAGGGATGCATTATTAATCTATAAGAACCTAGTTATAAAATGTCAAGATCAACTTGCTTATATAAAAGTTTTACAGTTAGAATCATTAAAGATCAGAGAATACTAAAAAACGGTGAAGTACTTCACCTATATATCTAAATGTGTTACGTACTAAACATAAATATAAGTATTAAACTTTTATTTATCATAACCTAATCATTTGAAATTTATTGGTGGTCAAAATTACAATAGTACCAGTAAATGGTAACAAACATAGATAGAGTAGCTTTGTATCAAAATAAAGCTTGAGAATTTTTGTCTTGTCTTGAATAGTTTGCTATCTTGATCTGTTCTGTGACATAAAGATGATGAGATTGCATGATATATTGATATGTTTTGTGAATGAAGACCTGTTTTCTATAGGTGCTACACATTATAAACTTTATAAGTATTACTAGTTGGTTTCTTGTATGCAATTACTAACTTCTATTCACTTTCTTGTTGTATATTATCATCAAACGATGTTTATAGTCAGAGGTGGAGCACCCACTACAGTAGAGTGGGTTGCTTGACCCAGCCAGCTTTGTCAGCTAGAACCCAATATCTCCACCCTTATAGAAAAACCTCTAATTTTTGTGATTATTTGAAGCCAAATATGTACACTGGTGGAGAAACCATCTTTGGTCGGTCGGTCGAAATCCACAATAGTCCCGGATCCATTTAAAACCGGGAGTAAAGATGATCTTTAGTCCCGGTTGGTGGCT